AGCTTTAATTTCTTTTTTAATAACAAAGAAAGGTGGCTGCTGAGGAATAGGACTGCCACTATTTCACATTTAACCTCGAAATTAAAATCCACAATAACAATGCTGTGCTAGTATTTAAATAAAAGAAAATGAAAAAAAAGACAAGGGTGACTTCATAGAGAGACTCCTAAAAGTTACAGCAAAGCTTTTATTTTAACATTTTTTACTGTCTTGCAGTGTTTTTCAAGTTCACACTAAAAGCTCAAAGTTCAGTTCATAGATTAAAATGAAATAGTTCCCTCTTTAATGAGTCATCCTCCAGAGTGAGCGACATTCATGAATTGTAAATAGAAGCAAAATACAGGTTGTGTGCCATTCATGTTAGTATAAAAACATACTTTTAATTTGAAATAAGATTTGCTCCCAGTAGAAAACAGCCAAAGTTATATGGAGTCCTATCAGGGAAGCGGCACAAGTTTAGGTCGGGGGAGTCTCCACCCAGTTCAGGTGTTGCAGCCACTGGACATAGAGCCCTGGACACACCTGCAGCCCTTCAGGGAGGGATGTCAGTGTGGGTGGAGGATCCTGCAGCAAGGATCAAGCCAGGTCACTCTGTGGAAAGTGGAAGTGGATGAACCCCCCCCAAAAAAATAAGAGACGTTAATAGATTTGAGTAGTAAGGACATGTGCAAAGACTTCAATAACATCAGGATTAATTGGAAATGGACGATCCAAAAATGATGTATGATGCTGTTTGAGTGCAGCTTTTTGAGTCTCTGCAAACCCCAGTGAACACATGCAGCCCCCCCTTTGACTGATTCTAACAGTGTAGAGTCCTGCATTATGTCACAGAGTCCTGTCTGACAGAGGGCAATGTGAGGTGACCAGACGCCTCTTTACAGTTAAAGCATAATATTGACATTACAGTCAGTAATCAGATAAGCTGCCAGATGGCTGCAGATCTGCTGATGCCTAAAAAAGAGCACAAAGTACAGAAAAGAGAGCAAGCACGACCCCACATGTCAACAGTGATCCTTCTGTTTGTTTCACTTCCTGGAGTTCAGGCTCACTTTCCCTGTCATTTGGCTGAATTTAAACCCTTATGTATTGATCTCTGTTGATGTCCTCGAGTTTAAACAGAGCAGTCTTGTCATGGTCACACTTTGAGGTGAGATCAGACCTGGTGTAGTCCAGATTCCTCTTATCGCCTCCCTTTTCTGTCTGATAGTAAAGGTTGTGAACTTAAAAAAAAAAATAAAGCCTCAGTGTTATCAGTCACATGTTATCAGTATGGGTTGGGTCACTTTGTAGGAGGAGGTTTGGTTAAAAGAGTCACAAAAATAACAAGAAATTAAGACTGTGAGACTTCCCAGATTTTTACATTATCAGAGCGCCCCGGTGTTTCCAGAGTAAATGCTGCTTAAAACTGTATCAAGCTATTATTGGATGTTATTTTAAAGTCCTCTTAAGCTGATGAGAGGAGAAGATCTTAAAATGTCTCAGTTGCAGAGCCACTGCGTTCATTTTTGCAAGACTTGACTAATGCTCTATAAATTGTTGAGCAATAAATTTCCTGATTTAAGAGAAGATGAGCAGCGAAGCATTAAAAAAACATTATTTCACTATCCAAAAGACTTGACAACTAAAAAAGAGTTCATGTGTACTTATGGACTTTTACAAGCTAAACAAATACTGAAATACAGAGTTATAAGCACATGCATTAGTTAGTGAAAAAAACTAAGTTGTTAAGGATTAAGACTAAACATTAAGCCGAAGAAAGAAAAACATACTTTACCTAAAATAAATTAGGAAAAAAAAAAGCAAACGAACAAAAAAACTATATTCTTCATTTACACGTTCAATATAAAAGATCTGTCCTCCTTTTGTCTTAACTTTTTTTATGATTATTCTTCATTGGTGTAAATATTTGATGTGCAAGTTCATTATTATAATTTAGAGAAAAAATCCTGGCAAATTTTAGGTACAGTGGAGTGTAAGGGCCATAATTAGAGAGACAAAATTAAAGTTTTTTTTTTTCTTTTTTCTTTTTACATTTTCTGTTGACAAATCAAAATTGTGACTTTACAAAAATTTTACAGTCATAAAAATGACTAAACATCACCATAACTCCAAACCTGTAAAGGCCTGATTCTAATCCAACTTAATATTTTACCAATATGACATACAACATATTTATTGTAAATTCCTGCCACAATATTGGATTTTTACCCCAGCAGCATGGTGGCCATGAAACATTGGGACTACTACAAATTCAGGAAGAGCAGGACAACACAAAACTTCATCAATTTTGCTCATACACACAACTCCCTCACTTTAACTATGCATTAAAGTATGAGCCGCTTCAGGTCAATCTTTAGGTTCAGACTAAAAGGAAACGGTAAAAAAAAATTAGAAAGTACAGACTTTTAGGGAAAGAGGAACCAGCTTTAATGTCTGGAATCAGAATAAACCTTTAGATGTTGAAGTGTCGAATCATCTCTACAGTGAGATCTCTATCTTCTTTTTCATCTGCTTGAAAAGACTTGCAATAATGATTTCATTAGATGACTGTGTGTACTTACTTACTTACTTAGGCCTTTGTATTCCTTTCGGAACATAGGCCACTGATGAATCGCTTCCACACTCTTCTGTCTTGGGCCATCCTCTCTAGCTGTTTCCACGTCAGTCCCTTCTCTTTCACTTCTTGTTCTGTACTCCTTCTCCAGGTGTTTCTGGGTCTTCCTCTGTTCCGCTTGCCTTGTGGGTTCCATGTTAGTGCCTGTTTGGTTATTGCAGTTTTGTCTTTCCTGAGTGTGTGAACAATCCAGCTCCACTTTCTCCTTAGCAGCTGCACCTCTATTTTTTCTTGGTTGGTGCGTTCCCACAAGTTGGTGTTATTTATGCAGTTTGGCCAGATGATCCTGAGGATGCGTCTTAGGCAGTGGTTAATGAATGTCTGCAGTTTATTGGTGGTGTCATTGGTGGTCCTCCAGGTTTCTGATCCATACAGGAGTATGGATTTGACGTTGGAGTTGAAGATTTTGAGCTTGGTATTGAGTGAAAGGTTTTTGGTTTTCCAGATCTTGTTGAATATGTGATTCTTGCTTTCCCTATTCTTGTCTTCACATCCTCCTCTGTCCCCCCGTCCACAGCTAAAACACTTCCCAAATATGTGAATTTGTCAACCTCTTCCAGTGTCTGGTCCCCGATGGTTATGGGGTTTGTGCTTTGTTGTTTATGCGCATTATTTTTGTTTTTGGTCCGTTTATTTTGAGCCCTAGTCCAGCTGCTGTTGTTTCTAGCAGTTGGGATTTCTCTTGCATCTATTGGTGGTTATGTGAGAGTAGTGCGATGTCATCCGCAAAGTCGAGGTCCTCAAGATGTTGTGTCAGGCTCCACTGGATGCCAGTCTTTTTATTATGGGTTGTTTGTTTCATGGTCCAGGGGATTCCATAGTGTGCCATCAATTGCCATAGCAGCTGGCGGTCTACACTGTCGAATGTTTTTTCAAAGTCAATGAAATTGACATAGATAGGTGTGTTCCATTCTATGGATTGCTCGATGATGATCCTGAGGGTGGCAATTTGGTCACTGCACGATCTTCCGTTCCTGAAACCAGCTTGGTTTTCTCTCAGCTCCTCATCAACCCCCTTTCGCAGTCTCTCTAAGATAATGCGATTGAGCACTTTGCCTGGTGTTGATAGCAACATGATCCCTCGGTAATTGCTGCAATCCCTGAGGTCTCCTTTCTTGGGAATAATAGCAATGAGCCCGTCCTTCCAGTCTGCTGGTATATTTTCCTCTTCCTCCCATATTTTCTTGATCAGCTGGTGTAACATAGTGGTTGAGGTTTCAACATCAGCCTGTAAGGCCTCTGCTGGGATGTCATCTGGCCCTGCTGCCTTACCTCTCCGTAGTGCCTTTATGGCCTTCTTTACCTCAGATCTTGTTGGGGGGGCACAGTTGATGTCAAGCATGTGTGCAGTTGGTGGAATCTCTATCTCTTGGACAGGGGGTGGTCTGTTGAGCAGCTCTCTGAAATGCTCTGTCCACCTTCGGTGTTGCTCTTCCTTGGTGGTAAGGAGTTGTCCCTGTTTGTCACGGATTTGTACGTTGGTCTGCCTTAACTTTCAGGATAGTTCCTTGGTGGTCATATAGAGTTCTTTGAGGTTGTTTTTTCCAGCTGCATTCTCTGCTTCTTGTGCCGAGGCCTCTATGTAATTCTGTTTGTCACGTTTAGGGCTTTTCTTCACCTCCTTGTTTGCTAACTCATATGCTTTCTGTGCTACTGTCTTTCTTGCTCTAGTTTTGCATTTGTTTAGTGTGTCCTTCTTTGCCCTCCTCTCTTCTATTCTTTTTAGTGTTTCTGTTGACAACCAGGGTTTGTGGTTTGTTTTCTTTTTCCCCACCACTTCTTGACACGTCTCCTTCCATATGTTTTTCAGGCTGTTCCAGTGCTCTGTCACTGGTTGTTGGAGTTCTTGCAGGGCTTGAAACCTGTTCTGTAGAGTGGTTTGATACAGTTCAGTTAGTCCAATGTCCTGGAAGAGCTTGATGTTAAATTTTGCTCTGCTGTTTGAGGGGTTGTTGCAGCGTTTCAGCTTCAGTTGGACTTTTGCAGCCAGTAGATGGTGGTCTGAGGAGAGAGGAGGGAGGAGAGAGCGCCTGAACTTCCTGTTAATGCATATGTGGTCGATTTGGTTTTCGGTAGTATGGTCAGATGATATCCAGGTGGCTTTATGGATGGGTTTATGGGGGAAAACTGTACCTCCTATGACCAGATTGTAGTCAGCACATACATCTGCAAATCTCTCCCCATTTTCGTTCATGATGCCAAGCCCTTGCTTTCCCATAGCTAGTTCGTATCCACTGTTGTCATTTCCCACCTTGGCATTCATGTCGCCCATGAGCAAGAGGATGTCTTGTTCTTTTCTGGTCTGGAGCAGATGTTGTAGCTGGTTGTAGAAGTTGTCCTTAAGTTCATCATCAGTATTGTTGGTGGGTACGTAGCATTGTATGACTTAGAGGTTTATCCTTTTGTGTGTAGTTTGGAATCTTGCAGTGATGATCCTTGAGTTGATGGGCTCCCAACTGATGAGGGCCCTCTGGGCTTCTTTGGAGAGCATGAGTGCCACTCCCTCCGTATGTGGTGCTTTTTCGTCGGCGTGTCCAGAGTAGAGTATGGACTCGCCACTGCCCAATTTGACTTTTTCTGTCTGGAGCCATCTAGTTTCGCACAATCCTAGGATGGAAACCTTGTATCTCCTCATCTCATCTGCAATGACTGATGTCTTCCCTGCTGTGTACATTGTCCTGATGTTCCAGGTTGCGATGTTGATAGGTTGCCCAGGAGAAAGAAGATTCCAAAGCATCCTCTCCATATGGTTTTCGGCATGCTTCTTCATTGTCTCTTTAGCTTGTTTGCTTGAAGAGTCTTCATCTCTTAGGTTGTATGGTTTCTTTTTCTTCATCAATGTTTCTGTAATCATTTAAATCCACCTCACGGGTGATTGGCCCATGAGGTTTTGCCATTGCCCTATTGGCCAGCTTGACCTGTTTCCACCTCTCACGACATGGACGTTAGGGTTGGATTTCGAGAGGCATGACTGTGTGTACATTGTTATATTCTCATGAAATGTACTTTCTGTTTGGTGGTTGATTGTGCAGCTAAAACACAGAAATGAATAAAAGTGAGAAGAACGCGGATATGTAATCTGTGGACTTTTTCCTTATTCATGCCACTTCATTATTTGAACGTCTGCACCTCGGCCCCTCGACTGTGACTTTTAATTTTTCATACATTCCAATTAGTTTCCAATTATTGCTTCAAACATCAGCATTTGCAGACTTAACATTCAGCAGGGCAGGATTAACATTCCACCAGGACGAGGGCAATTAAACGTCGGAAAAATGACGAATCAGGTGACCTGAGCCAGAGCACAGAGCTCAGACTGGGGGCTCAGGAGAAAACACTCTACTGTCTCTGAAAAACATTTCATCTGAATTATCAACCTGTGAGGACAGGGCCAGGTCGTTCAAATGAAGTGAGGAAGTTTCCCTTATTTTCTTATTTGGTTTTCCTGCAAGCACCTCAAAGACCCGTGTCAGTTACTGGTTAACAACCTTTGCCTTTGTAGATTAAGACTCTAGGATTGGTGCTTCTGTCCTGCAGAATTACTGGATATTTCAAATGTTTTCAAGCCTCTTAAACCGAACAGTTTCAGAGGAGAAATTTTCCCTTCCAGTTCACACAAACACCTTACATTTGTGACACAGGGTCACAGGCAAAGAATGCTGAGATCACTTTGACCAGCTTAAGCAGCTTCAGGAGGGTTAGGGTTGCAATGTAGCCATAACAGACTAATCTGTGGCTGTCTACCAGAAACAGAGGTGACACCCCCACTGAGGCCTGGGGTCTCAAATGTTGAAAAAGAAGGACTTTCTTAGATCATTTTAGGCCTGACTACATCCTGTTAACTGAAAAAAATGTCAATAAAGAACCCTGCAGTGAAATAAATGGAAAGAGTGGCCTATCTGTGAACAGAGCACCCTTCTGTTGTCACGTAACAGTTTTAACAATGAAAAATAACCTAAAATAAAGACTTAACTGAAAAGAAAGTTTAAAAAACAAAAGATGAGGAAAAACAAAAACTTACTTAAGAAAATAGAGCTCTGGAGAAACACACAGGCAGACTCAGACTGCATGAACAAATGAACAAGGAACCAACAAAGAGGGAAGGCAACACAAGGGGCTCTATTTTCGTGCCCGCCAGCAGTGTGGCAGAGGGTGGCGCACCCTGTGCAGTGGTATTTTCATCTAGCGGAGCCCAGCGCACAGCCAGTTTGGTATTTTTGTAGACTGGGGCTCAGCAAGGTCCGCCAAGCTGGGCGTGGTGGCGCGATAGGGGGAGGTGTCGACAGAATCAGCTGGCGCAGTGACATTCAAACCTGGTCAGCTTTTAGCACAGGCGGAGCACAGTGAGGTCTAGTGGTAATTTGGTAGACTGGCGGCGTAGTGCGCATGCGTCACCGATGCTTCAATGGCAGGTTTCCACAGTGTCAGGCACATTTCAGTGCAATAAATAATCATCAACAACTAATAATCTGAGTCAGCAAATACATTTAGATCTATAAATATTTTCTGATCTATATCTGATCTGATAAGCGTGTTTGGCACGCGTTTGGACACTCAACCTGACTGAATTATCACAGCTGAAACTGCATTAAATTAAATTTAATATCTAGTAAATAGACACACATGATGACGTTAACAAGATACATGTCTCCGTGTCCTCTCCCCGTCCTGCTGCTGCTGCAGCAGCAAGGCTGACCAGGTGATTTATTTGAGTGATCAGATGAGTTATTTACCTTAAGCCTACATAGGAATATTACAATATTCCATTGCGTGAGCCAAATTTATTTTATATGCCAACATCAATGAAAGAAAGAGCCAGGCCATGGAGCGCGATGTGTCATTTACGTACAGATGGTTCTGATTTTAATGCCGTTATTGGAATTTATGTTGTAATCTGTGTGCACAACATGGCTTGTCACGTGGGGTTTAAATATATGCAACTTGATGTGAGTTTTTTTATTTGTGGAAAAGGATTTTTGTCTTACTAGTGGGTCCAACCTTACACACACCAAATCCATCTGTGCTTATTTGAGAGAGTGTGGAGGACGCCCTCCGCAGCGCTTACAGCGACACTTGTAGAGGGGCTGCCTTCTGTCGCCATGGTGTGGCATTGCTGTCTTCAGCCATCTTTTGATCTCTCCAACTACTTCACGAAAATTGTAACATGCCTCACTGGTGGCAGGTTGAGGTGGTCTTTACACAAGTACAAATTTGTGAGACACCGGGAAAATAAACTATCGATCTGGTGATATTGACACGTATTTGTCCATGACTCCGCATCTTTTTTGAAAACAGGTCTGCAGGTGGATATCTGGGTATTCTTTTTCATGCCGTAGTTGGTGTAAATAGATAAGTCTGGAAAAAACAGTGACCTCATACCACCCCTCCTCCTCCCCGCCCCCCAACCCATGTTGTCACACACTGCATGTATGTATGTATGCGCATGCCCATTCTCTGTTTCTGGTGCTTTGTGGCAATTTCACGGTGTCACCTTTAGGCCGGGCGTATGTACTACAGGATTTTGTGTGGATTTTGCGTTGTCATGTAAATGCACTAGGCCTATGTACAATACGATGTGTAAACAGTGATACATGTTTTGGTGCCGACGTCAAGACAATACGGGGCCGTCCTCGTGTGAGGAGGGCCTTAAAGGTCATGAGAGGAGCTGATGTGATTGGTGAAAACAGGTCTCAGCCGTGTTAAATCCACTCCATGCCTTATCCCCTCTCTACGACTTATGCCTTTGGGAGGAGCTGTGTTAAGGAGGGGGGGATACTTACACCGGGCTGCTCCGCTCACCAAAATACCAAAGTGTGCTTGGGCACGCCTTATTGGCGCAGCGAACCCGACTTTCGCTGGCCCAGAGGGAGAGCCCAAGGACTAAATAAACCAAGTGAGGAGCAATAAGACACAGGTGACGCGATCACTGAGGAGGGAAAACACAGGAAGAAAAGCTAAACAAGACACACAAGAAGAGGGAATTTAAAAAAACAAAAAACAGGAAACACCAAAAACTAACCACATGACCAGAGAGAAAAACACAACAGGAACATGATGATAATGAACACAGAGGAACAGACACAAGAGGGGACAGAAACACAAGTAAAAATACACAAAAGACACAAGTAAGTTATGAGTGGATTACATTTTAAAACTTTGCCTTCCTCAGAGCTTTTTCAGTATACAACATGAAAACAAAGAGTCCTGTGGATTCCCGTTCAGTGGATGAAATATAAACACAGCACCCTGTGGACGCTTTGCAGAGAATGAATGTAAACAGAACACCCCCAGAAACTCCTCCCCTTTTGCAGGAAACTTAAAACGTGTTCTCTAAATGATCCTCCAGGGGGATCAATATTAACAAAGTTCCTTTTGAATGGAGGTCAAGTGGATAAAATGTAAACAGAGCTACCTCTGGAAAATGATTACGACCTTTGTATACCTAATCTGACTTTGCTCTCTTTTAAAGTCTTTGCAGGAACACAAGTGGAAAAATACAGTATCAGCAGTATGCAGTTTATCATGTTGTCTGTAGTCTTTAAACCCCAGTGGTTTCAGATATAACACCCAGACTGCCCTTGTAGGCCATAAAAAGGCAATAGTACATATTTCAATCATTTTTTATATCCAGATAAAAACTCCTTAAAGTTTCAGATAAACATAATAAACACCTAAAAGAGACAAAAGAAGGAGTGAATAGATTAAATACACACGTCAGCAGAGTCAGCAGCATCTATCGTTAACGTAGGTTAATGTTTCTGAGCATGTGTCAGGATGTTTTCCATGACAGCAGCAGCAGCAGCGAGGAAAACTTCCTTGCTTCCCTCCCAGGAATGCATGAATGGAAAATAATGCAGAGCTGGAATTAAATCTGAGATCGCCAACATTCTCTGCTAGATTTGTCTTCAGCGCCACGCAGAGAGCATGACAAGCATCCAGCCCAGGGGGTCAGGGTTCAGCCTCCCCCCTCCTCTTCCTCCGTTCAGCAAACGTGCCGCCAGCATGCAGCCCGGATGCGACTGTGCTAAGAAATGTCCCGAGACTGAGAAAGGACGAGTAACAGAGATGCTGAGACAAAAATACGCTGCTGAAGGGGAATCAGAGTAGCTGGTAAATACTAATCTATATCATCTAAATCATCAATCAATCGAATCATCAATCATCTACATAAAGTGTGTCAGACAGAAAGTCCCAAACTTTTCACATCTATGCTGACGACTCTGTCGTTTGTTTCTTCTTCAAGTATTCAACATTTTAATAGAAGATACATTTTTTCGACTGGACTTCTTCTAAATGAAAATACAACTCTTTTTCTTTTTGACATCTTTAAGGGCGGAGAGAGAAAACAGACTCATCTGGGGAAATGATGACCAAAGATGATGTGGAATCCAGTTGGTGTCTACATTTAAACACTCTGATGATGGTTTGTCTTTTAATGAGCATATCCACTATATGACCAAAAAGCTGGAAGAATAAATCCTGCCTTTCCTTTAGTGTAAAAGTGAAGTTAATCTTTTTACCTTTTCTTGGTTATGGTGATGTTTTGGACTCAAATGCCACACTACTATTGCTGTACATATACAGGACTTTTAATTTGTAAAATGTTGGCAAAATGTTAAAATTTTTACAGTTACATATTGTTTGAAGTATGATTTTATTGTTTAACTGTGTTTTGGTAATAATATATATTAGTCATTATTGATATTTACCAATTTATCGGCATCCCCTGATTTCATGTCAACCCTGTTACCCTAACTAAAAAAACTAAAAAAATAATGGTACACTACAGATTTGACATGTATTGACAGGAGGTTGCATCATCTCTGAGCCAGTATG